TAACAGCCATTTGTGACAACTGTCAGAACGGAGGTTACTGTCTAACTCCTGGGGTCTGCTCGTGTACAAGTGGTTGGGAAGGCACAACCTGTGAAATTGGTAATTATCATTTATTATTTATCATTGTCCTAAATTTTTCAAAATATGTCCATATAAAGAATTCCGAGTATATTCAATAACCTATTCAATAAAGAAAATAGACCCCTGGGCACGCTTTTAAAGCCCCAGCAATCAGTTAAAAAATCGACGCTTCAAAGGATTTTTTTTATTTTCACTGCTATGAGCTAGGAGCTGCAGCTCGAAAATGCACTGCAGCGGAGAAGACATACTAGCCCATCCAGTTCATTACTAGTATCTAATCCGACATTGACATTACTATTATTAATAATATTATATATCATTAATGTTGTGTCATTCATTATCTTCATTAGGCCTATTACTATTATTATTATTATTATTATTATTATTATTATTATTATTATTATTATTATTATTATTTAATATTATTATTATTATTGTTATTATTATTATTATTATTATTATTTATTATTTATTATTAATGTTGTATCATTCATTATTATTATTATTATCATTTAATTATTATTATTATTATTATTATAAATCATTTCTCGTATGAATGGCAGCAATATGCAGTCCTAGTTGTAAGAATGGAGGAGTATGTGCATTACCAAACCAATGTAACTGTCCATCTGGATATGAAGGATACGATTGTTCAGACAGTGAGTATTAATATTTAGACACTAATAATAATCATAACCCGATGACGACTATGGAGAATGTTACATAATGACGATGAAAGTTATTATAATGTTGATGAAGGGTAAACTATATTTATAAGCCATGTTTTATCGTTTTTTAAAGCAAGGATCCGGATAAAAAAATAAATGAAGGAGTGTTTTGAAGAAATAAATAACATACATTTTCACAAAATTATTTAACAAAAACAAAAATAAAACTGCACGTTATTATTCACAACATCTCTTTAATGTGTTTGAATATTCACTTTAATCGTAATTCTGTACGGTTTTACTAATATTGTGTCATAATTTAAGACTTCAAAAAATGAAAATTAATTTATTGTTTTTGTTATTCAATTTATTATTGTAAAAAATAAGTAAATTACATGGTATAATTTATTATCTATGTGCCATTATTATTCCTATCACAATATTTATGAAAGATTTTACGTTTTAAAAGTTGGAATTACCGTATAGGCCTATTGTATGTTTAGTCAGCATTGCTTTTGGATATTATACCCTCAATAAATAAAGTTGAAGTTAAATCTAAGTTACACATGAAGAATTGAACAGAGGAAACCTATGGGGAGTATCCATAGGCCTATTGTTTTTCTTTAAGCCCACTAAAATGTCAGTTCTACTGGAAGCTATGTTAAAATAAGGCTTGGCTCACACACCTTAGTAATACGTACCAAAGAGTTCTATTTTCTCTCTGGTAATACAGAGACGCATTGTATTGGCGCAATAAACACAAGCAACGCTACTAGGCGTATAATTTAGCGTTGCATGCCTTACGCGTCATTGCGTCTAAACGTCTCTGCTTCTTTTCTTCCAGTGATCGTCACCTGTAGTCAGACTTGCCAGAATGGTGGTGAGTGCATAGCAACAGACGTATGCCAGTGTACGGAGGGATGGGGAGGAGCTTGGTGCAGTGAACGTAAATATGTTACGACAATTATTTTTCTCACACTATGATATGACCATTGTAGGCCTAATTATATTAATAATATTTAGCGTTCGATGAGATTGTAGGCCGATATTCGCTTGTGCGAGCGAGTTTACTCAAATTCACTAGCCTTGCAGATAGAATTAAGTCATTGTGCCCATGTATGTAATAGCTATATTCATGGAAAGATGTAGGCCTATTAGTAGGCCTACTATGAAGACAAATATTAAGCGATTATTTTCTTTTTGTGCATTGCCATACCCGTGCATAGCGTAGGCTGCTGGTGTGCGATGTTACTGTATATCAGTGAATGGGAATACCATATATCATAGGCCTGCATGGTACATGCAATATAAATATTTGATAATGAAAATCATAGTAGACCTAAAATTTAAAAAAATTAATCAGAATATGCAATAATTGGTACCGAAAGGAAATTTGGATAGATGTATGGATTTCGTGTTTTTGTGCCTCTACAAGATTTCATGTATTTTATTATTGTCGTGTAATTGTGTTTTTATAATCATTTGCAGCAATATGCAACCCAGAATGTGTCAATGGTTTGTGTGAAGGCCCCAACTTTTGCCAGTGCTTCATGGGATACGAAGGGGAGCAATGTGAATTTGGTGAGATCTAATTTTAAAGTATAGATAATACATAATAACATAATAATAATAATAATAATAATAATAATAATAATAATAATAACAACAACAACAACAACAACAACAACAACATCATCAACAACAACAACAACAACAACAGCAACAACAACACGACTAATAATGACAATAATAATAATAATAGTAATAATAATAATAATAAAATAATAATGATAATATAAATATTAATAAATGATGATAATAATAATAATAATAATAATAATAAATAATAATATTATTATTATTATTAAATAATATCCGTCTATCCAAAAATTAACATGATAATAACCATTATGTTATAGACCTAAATTGCTTGTTTACTGAATTAAAATAGGATTATGCATTAACCTGTTTGACCTAAACAAAATCACAGTGCGATTTATATTTTTCTCAGGTTGCACATACTGCAGATACTTCTGCCGTATCAGTCTGTTATGCGTAACGATAATGCTCTACAAGTTTCTTATTTACCAAATATCAATCTGTCAATCCATTGATGAATTTCATAGTCTTAACACCTATTAATTTATTTGTATTGATCCTTTTCTTTCAGCTGTGGCATTCGATCATGGCCAGAATGTGTTCAATTTTACTAACGGTATGTACATATACAGTGTCTGACTACAAAAACATAGGGCCTACTCTAATTTTAAATATTACTAATTAGCATTAGTGTCGATAGAGAGCCTTAGCTTGGGAATCTGTCCAATGGTTGGGTCCGACTGAAGACAACACCCTGCAAAGACACCAATTAAAAAGGGTGGTTTCTGGTTTGACTTTAGATTTCTTAAAGGCCTTGCGAAAACTATCTTCCGTAAATTGTATAAACGACATTCTACGGTAACGTTCTGAGGCCTACTCAATGATAATTTAACATAAAGGCCTTCTTGTGATTACGCTTACTATGGCACAATTTATGGGATCTTGGAACATTGCGGCCGAACTGCAATATATGATTACCAATGTGCCAACAATAATTATATTTGATATCATTGCTAAACGTCATGTTTCATGACCCAGCCAAAACACTTTAAGAGTCTCCAACAATTTGCATAATTTATTAGTTTAACCTTTGTCGACTAGCAGGCACCTGTATTCCATTGGTTCGGAATCAATTTTAATTTGTATTGCTTAAATTAATAATCCAATAATAATAATATTCAATAGATGACTATTTGAATAATACCGGAGTATGCTCTGCCTGTTGCGGTTCACACATCAGTACATTTGACCACCGCGCCATCATCTTCCCCGGCAAGTGCCTTTACACAATGGTTTCCGAGTGCAATGATGATCCAACCTCATACGGTGTTGACATCGAAACAGATTACAGTTGCGACGAGAGTGGGAACGTGTGTAAATATGCTGTACATGTGCAGTAAGTATCACATGATGTTCAATTTTTACATTTGTATAGTATTATATTAATTACTTTACATTATATGTTCTCACGTATATTACGCACACAAGCATATTACAGTGTCATCATTTATGCATAAAATGAGCCTTATATAAACGCCACCTTATACAAATCTTATAATGTATTTTAGTTCCGGTGGAGATTTGTATCATTTACTGCCAAACTACATTGTGCATCGTAACGGTGTTCCTATTAAGATTCCATACAGTGATGGTGCCGTCACCATTGAGTTTGTGGGCATGTACACCATTTTCAATGGACTCAACGGTAAGTGAATTTTGTTTATAAGAAATAAATCATTAAAAATAAGTAATATTTAGTTTAAACTGGTTGTTGTATCCGATTTTAAGACCTTTAAAGACAAAAAGGTGTGTACTCATAATTTCCATATGAACGATTGCTTTGATAAATGTTGATAATAATCATGAGGAGGGTAATGGAATAGTGATGTTTATAAGGATGCTTGTGATTCTGAAAAAAAACCCCCAAAAGAACAACTGTTGTATTGATGAGAATATCTCGATATTTTGATTGCATTGCTTTAATCTTCAGAATAGAGAATAATTTGAATTTGTATTCTTCTGAAACAATTAGATCACCAATCGAAACGTCATGATAATGCCATGTTTTATTATTAGGGTAATAAACACAGATTTTTTATTTTTTAGGTGCCCGAGTATCATTTGATGGGGCAGCTAGTGTCTACATGCATATGTCTGACTTCTACAGGGGCAGTCTTTGTGGTATGTGCGGAAACTTTGATCATGATGCAAGTAACGACCTGGTGATGACGCCTATGTACAGCCATTCTGCCTCCTCTGATGCAGAATTTGGTAACAACATGAAGACTGGTGAGAGAGAAGATTGCCTTGATGTTAGCCCAGAGCTATCACACCCATGTGCTAGACTTGCGTCTACTCCATCCTTCATTGAATTGGTTAGTACTGCTTTCCAATCCAGATATTATTTTTAATTTTTTCTAAATTGTGGTTATGGATTTCGCTGGTGCTAATACTAGTCTTAAAGACCAGGTTAAAATCCAGATCTACACAACATGGTTAATCTCTTTTACTGGTTTTACAGTTTAAATCTATGGTTAGAAATGAGTTTATATTAGCTATATTTGTTTGTAATTTAACATTTCATCTACTAGAGATTGTAAATTTATAATTCTTAATAGTTTAAACAAATCACTAGTGGTATTGTTTGCCTACAAATGAGAAACTCAAATGGAAAAAAAACATACCTGGATAAAAGCGAGAAGGAAACAAAATACTTAATTAACTATTAGGTATCACCTATTATTTGAGACGACTGAATTTGTGTTCGATGTGTAAGTTTCCTAGGAAATTTTAGCATTCGTCGGTTACCTAGTTAAGTATTAACGAAATCGACTTATCCCACTTAATTGTTCGATATTTGTTTCAATTTCAGGCCAAAGAGCGGTGTGATTACCTGTTGACATCAACATTTAGCGCTTGTCATAGTGTCATCGATACAGAAGCATACCACGGACTCTGTATGTACCACATGTGCTCATGTAACTTTGAAGAAGGTGAGATTTGCGAATGTGACGCCATTGCCCAGTATTCCAGAGCTTGTGCTGCAAGAGGCGTAGTCCTCAATTGGCGTAGTCCTGACTTCTGCAGTAAGTACTATACTAAGCAATATTACTTACTTATCTGTAGGGTTAGTACTTGATATATTTCTTTTCTCATCCATTTCTTTAAGTTTCAAGAGGGCTATTAATCAATAAACCAACATTGGGCCTATTCCATTTTGAATGTTCTTAATGGTTACCATTATATATCGCTTTTTAAAAGAATAATTTAACTAATTAATTAATTATTTAATAAAATCTTTCAGATGCGCCATGTACAAATGGTATGGTTCACAGTGAATGTGGCTCAGCTTGTCCACGTGCTTGTGAGAATGCTCATTATCCACCAGAATGCCAGGACTACTGTGTTGACGGATGTGTTTGTCCTGAAGGTTTGTCAGAACTCAACCAATAAATAAACAAATTATTAAAGGAATTCAAAGTCATGTTAATTGTTTATGGATAAACTTCCATTCGAAAACCAAGCTTCATTATTAGCATTTTCGAATGAAGACACCGTTCTCGCTTCTTATCCTGTCGTGGTTAAAGTATTTTTTCTGTCCTTAAAATTACACAACGATTTTTTAAACTTCCTTCCTTAAGCACTTTTACTCTTCTACAACCTCGACCTAAACCCCATTGAAGTGTGCCCTTTCTATCTCATAGCTTAACTATTCCTCGCCCTGCAACACATTATACGATTTGAAAATTGTATTTCTTATACATTAGTTCAATATTTGTAAAATAATTATCGAGTGTTTGTCTAGTTTGGCTTTTGCAACAAATGGATCTTGGCTCTTTTTTTCGAAGGTTTTCTGTTTGACGGCGTGCATTGTGTTGAGGTAGACGACTGCCCTTGTCTTCGTAGCAACGAACTCTATCCAGTCGGGTCTATGATAGCATCCGAATGTAAGGAATGGTGAGTACAACATAGATAGATTCCCCAGAAAATAGCTACCGTATATTTTATTAACTATTGAAAATTATAGATTCTAAGAAGAAATGAAAGTTGTTTGTTTTATTTTTTATAGTACGTGTTATGGAGCATCCTGGCAGTGTGATACTCTTGAAAATATTGAAAATTATAGATTCTAAGAAGAAATGAAAGTTGTTTGTTTTATTTTTTATAGTACGTGTTATGGAGCATCCTGGCAGTGTGATACTCTTGACTGCCCCGGTAGAGGCTCACTTATCGGTGATGTCGCCTTTAGTACCTTTGACGGTGCAAGGTATCGCTTACGTGGTAATACACAGTACATCTTGGTACAATCAAATGGTGCGGATGTTCCAACATTCTCAGTTTGGATCGACATGAGCAGTTGTAAAGAATCAATGGTCAGTGTCGAATGTATGGACTCCATATCTATACAAGTTGGCTCCGACAGCACATTGTTCAAGTATGTTAACATTATTATTATTATTATTATTATTATTATTATTATTATTATTATTATTATTATTATTATTATTATTATTATTATTACTACTACTACTACTACTACAGCTACTACTACTACAACATCATCATCATCATAACCAATATCAATCAACAATCTTCATTATTATTATATACTTATGATATAATATACAGATTCAATACTGGTAAAATTCCTGAAGTAACCGTATCCATTACCTAAACGTTGTTCACGTGATCAACACTAGTTAAGCTCAGTCATGATGACCGATGTAGCTTACACAATAATGTGTTAAATAAGAATAAGAAATTAAGAATAAATAAAATTCGTTTCGATAGGCTACAAAAAACTGGCAAACTTTCCCGTAATGGTGAAGTAGTTGGAATTCCTCACAACCACATCAGTGATCACCTTATCCGTGTGAGACATATCTCAGAATCATTCATCAGAATTGAGACGGACATTGGTGTTGAGGTTCTGTGGGATGGTGCCGCTCAGTTGTATGTCCGGCTAGAATCGAAATGGAAAGGACATGTGAGTATCAAACATTAGACATAATTAAGCTCATATTAAATTCTCAGAAGAATAACAATACCCGTTTATATATTTAATGTGCATTTTTATCACAATGTTTTAATATCGTCGTCATCTTTATTACTATCATATTTTACGAAGTTGTAAAACAGCCATCATACCAATCTTCCCTATATCGTGACAACGTCCACACGGGAATGTCCATTCAGTCATTCAGTTATAAAAATATTTTATATTCTATATCATCTATAGGTTGCCGGGCTTTTGGGTAACTACAACAGCAAACAATCCGATGACCAAACGACTCCCAATGGTGTTAATGAAATACGAGTGTACAGATTTGCCAATGCTTGGAAAACCGACGGATCTAGTTCAGATCTGACAGAAGACAATTACAATTCTCTTGGCATTTGTACAATGACATCATCGTTAGAGCTTCATGCACGAACTGTTTGTGAAAGTATGTATGATGCACCATTCAAGACTTGCAACCAAATTCTTGAAGTTGAGCCGTTCATTGAAACCTGTATGCAGGCTGTGTGTGGCTGCATGTCAACATCACCGCAAGGTGAAAACTGTGAATGCTTGGCTTATTCTGCATACGCGCACGAATGCGCCCTCAGAGGAACAATTCTTGATTGGAGAAGTGACAACATTTGTCGTGAGTATTTGCTAATTATTAAAAACATTATTATCAAGAAAGTATTATTATCAAGAAAGTTTAATTATGTAAACCGATTAAACCTTACTTTTATTGAAGATGATTGTTAACTATTTTGATACAGCTATTGAGTGCCCTGCTGGAATGGACTATCAAGAGTGTGGCCCTAGCTGTAATGTTCGATGTAGAGAGTACAGTGAGGATTTCAATTGCACGGAGGAATGCATTCAGGGCTGCCAGTGTTCTGATAATACGGTAAAATTATACTTATTTTATACTTACTTACTTGTTACCTGTCTTCCTAGAAGTTTTCTTTCATAGAAAACATATGGCCGTCATTGACTGATTTGCATCAGTTGACATAGCTTTGCCAGGTATGACCATGAGAGAGATCTTACTTTAAAAAATTGCTCCTCAATTATATATATATTATTAATTTTGTATAGCACATTAAAACTCTAATAAATTTAAATGGAATCACAAATAAACCTCTTTTCTTGAATTTTCTAAGCTGATATAGTACTGTGCTATGTAACTTGTGAAAGGAAATCCATACAAAATGTCTAAAAGCCCTAATACTTCATTAAAACACCAATATTTGGTGTTTATTTCATCAGTGTAAAAGGTAAAACATCATTCTAAAATATTAATATTTTGACAATACCGTATCCCATCATCAGTGTATTTGTATTTACATTTGTTTCCTATATACTGTATTGTAATGGTGTTTTAGTTTGGTGATTGTGTGCAGTGGCGTCACGGAGTTTGTGGGGCCCTGGCGCTTACTAATATTGGGGCCCCCTAATAAGTGAGTTAGGTGAGCGTTAAGTTTGCGAGCGGAGCGAGCAAACAGACGGTGGGGGAGGGGGGGTCGGGGCCAGGCGTATCTATAAGTCTTGAAATGGGGGAGGCGCGAAGGTGAAGTGGAGCTAGATGATCAGTTGACGGGCGCTAATTCGCAAAATATGGTGATTTTAGGGATTTTAACTACTTGACCGTGATTTTTTGGGGGCGACTGGGGGGGGGGAGGGGCGTGTATTTTTTTTGGAGGAAAGGGGCGTGCGCCAAACTCCGCGCCTTTCCCTAGATACGCCACTGTAGCAAGTAGAGCGCGTTTCTATCATCAACCAATCACACGTACGCGTTTACAATTCCCAGTTTCTTATTGGTGATTCGATCATCGTATTCGTGGTATCCGGATCGGGATTTTTTCGGGTCCTGCTAACCGTTAGCTGCCGTGTGAGAACATAGGTTAAATTTATTTTGTCAAAATTATACAATAAATGCCAGAGCGCATTAAAACATTCTGGAAAAAATGTTTACGTATGTTGAAGTAAATTTGGGCATACTCTCGTTTCCATGAGACCGCAACATTGACGAGGCTCGTGTGATGGGTCATTTTCGACAACCATTCGACTGCCACCTAAAATCAAGTGGGGATTAATAGGCAACTTTTTTTGTTAACTAGATAAAATACCAGTAGCTTTAAGCATATTAACAAATAGACCAAATCTACAATTTCATGAGAGAATTTTCAAACAAGTAAATTAATTACTCCAATGACTCTCTAATATAGTAATAACTAGATTATGTGTGTGAATAACTACGATATGCCTAACTACATTTTTAAATACATGTTTTAAATGTTTACAATAGCAATGTGCTTCTGAACTTACATTAAACGCCTCTAATTATTTCCATTCATTAACTTTCAAAACAATGTAGATTTGATACTGTAACTGCCATGTCATTACACCTATACAATACATCTTAATCTGTTTTTCCACCATTTCTATCCTTCATTCAATTATTAAACATATTACTTCCATAGCTATTGTGTTAATCAGCAATGGTATTGTATGGAAATGCCATGCCCAGCAAGTTGTAGGGCTTTTGGAGATCCTCATTATGAGACGTTTGATGGGAAACTTTATGACTTCCAAGGTAAGCCAGTTATGAACAATCTGTACACTAATCGATAACTTTATATTCGATGTTTATACATTAACAAACTTGAAAGAGGCCTCCCGTGGGTTAGGAGATGCTATAAACCTGTCAAATATCAATTAATGCTAATCAACAGATCCTATAAAAATGATGATTTAATGATGATCGATAGTTATACAAGATTCAAAACTTATTTTTGTCCTTTCGGAAAATCAGTTGGTACACCACAAAACAAAGTGCAAGATTAATACAAAACAACAACAGCAATAACAAAATTATAATTAGGCCCTAAAACTTATTTGATATTTGATTAAGAATTGTAATGGATAGTGGTACGAATTAGTTGAGATATCTATTTGTTCTACAGGTTTGTGATTTTAACCTTTTACCCGAGGGGGGGGGGGCAAGTAAAAGATGCGTTTAGCGGGTGGGAACTATCTGTTAAAATACTCTTTACTTTATCAATAATTTTAATCTCGATGATGGTGATGATGATGATGATGATTATCATGCTCATGAACGAATTGACAATGATAGTGATAATAGTAATAATCACTTTTAAAATGTAATCTGTTAGGTGACTGTGAATATGTACTATCTGAGGACCTTTGTGGACAAGAAGAAACCGAGGGGACCTTTCGTGTGACAACTGAGAACGTACCGTGTGGTGTCTCTGGAGTAACATGCACTAAGACAGTGCATATTGAATTCAAAGGCGTGCATGTTAACCTAGTGAAGGGTCAAGAACAGCCTGAAATAATTTACAATGATATGCCAACAAGTACAGTGCAAGTTTTTAAATCTGGTACCAGTTGGTACTTCATCTCTAATGACAGAAGTGAGTTTGAGACCAACGAATTTATAACTGCGTATCGTTTTATATATTAATTAATGTGTATATATATTTCAACTTATTGTTATAACGTTTATGGTGCAATTAATAATTATCCTTAGTTGTTTTCTTCATTACACAATGACGTTTAAATCGTGCTTGTAAACTAATGGACCTTTCGCTAATCCATGTCTCTTTGATATGTTGCTCATGTTCCACAAAACGACAGCGTAAACGTACGCATGTCCGTTTGTGGGACAGCATGTGTGTTTGTATGACATGCGCCATTGCGCGTACTGTTCTCATTGGGTAGTTTGACTCTGCGGAAAGGTCCATTGTAAGAATTTTCACTTGAGTGTAGTAGTGGTTTCATTGTACTAGTATTCAACAAGTTGGTTGATATAGGCCTACATGTTTTTTTCATCATTTTGTAAGGAAAGTCCAGGTGTACAATGAGGTAATAACGCAGTAGAAAGAGTCTCACAATGATTTACATTGATATGGTATTTTGGTCAAAATGTATTTCTAACCGTTGTGAAAATTAAAGTTGCTTTGATAAGGTAGTTCACTTGTGAAACGTTTTCGATTTTTAAAGAGGTGATGCTAAGTTGGGATGAAGCAACTTCAGTTGATCTCACCTTGCAACCTGACTATGCTACCAAGGTTTGCGGTCTCTGTGGAAACTTTGATGGTGATTCTGGAAATGATTTTACCACTCGACAGGGAGAGATCGAATCTGCGGCTAACGTCTTCGGTGACACATGGCGTGTGTTGACTAGCTGCCCAGCAACACCTGAAGAACCAGATCCATGCGAGGCCAACCCAGAGCGTCGCACATGGTCTGAATATGGATGCGGTATCATCAAGCAATCCGTTTTTGCTCCTTGTCATGATGTGGTAAGATTATTATATAAAATTGTGAAAACACTTTATTTACTAGGATCAAGATAATTATCGTTTGCCTCCCATCCTATAAATTGGGTTTTAAGCCTAATCTTGTAAATGACAGGAACATGTTTATGACCATTTTAAACTTAATAACCAAATTTATGGACTATCCAAAGTTTTAGAGGCTTATGCATGGATGATAATATAATAGAGAATAAGATAATAATAATTAAATTTCAAATAATTTTATTTCCATTTATCAAAATTCTTAAATAACAGTATGAATAATAAAATAAGTAAAGCATGTAATACACAAACATAAATAGAAAAGCTTTCCAAAACAAGCATGAGCCTTAAGCATGAAAACGATGACAAAAACACAAAAATATATAATTTACGAATCTTAATAACATAAAAGCAGATATTCCAATTAAATCCCGATAACATAAATCACTTCAGAAAATAGAAATAACTGCAAAAACATCAGTTTGATTAAAATGTTTATAGATTGAACTAGCAAAAGACAACCCTTCCCCCTAAAATTCCCATGCGACGCCACCCATTTGTAATATGTTAGGCTATGCTGACTTGTGTTACTGTCCGGTCGTTTGTAGTCATACTACTGAAACCGCATGAATTTCACTGATTGTCTTAAGTATGATTTTGACACTGGTAGACTCTACATTAAAAATATTTAATAAAATAGATAATGTTGATTATAATGAGAGTGATAAATATAATATTCTTATAGGCTTAATAATATTATCAATAATATTATACACTATTATGTAATATTTGTTCTATAAATATTTTTGTAGCTGCACAAAATATTAGAACATAGCTTTATATTTTTTTCAGCATCATCAACAAAAGTCTAATCGATATATAATACGAATGTATTCTTAACGGTCTATTTCGTGAATACTTACCTCTTATTTGTGTATCCTCAGGTTGATCCTGACTTCTATTACAAAGCCTGTGTAATGGATACATGCGGCTGTGATAAGGGAGGAGATTGCGAATGTCTCTGTACTGTTGTTGCCGAATACGCCAGAGTTTGTGCTGACAGAAACCAACTCATTGATTGGAGATCTGATGGAAATTGTGGTATGTTGTTAGATACGTTACATAATTGAAAAATTAAGAATTGCATTTAAGATTAGAAAGATGGTGATTATTCGTATGTTTTGTAATAATATTTTAATAAGCATTCTATTGTAATTTGCCAGGTATTATGTGTGAAAATAACAAGGTATATGACCCATGCGGTACACTGTGTGAACCAACGTGTTACGATCCAAATGCTGTTGATAATTGCGTGTCACTTAACGAATTCAACCAAACTTGTTCCGAGGGTTGTCATTGTCCAAAGGGGACTGTTTTGTTGGACGGTACATGTATCCCCGAGGAGGAATGCC